GAATATAGTCCAGTACAAGGGCCCTGTGTTTAATCACCAGTAATGCCAAAAATAAAAATAAAAACTAGGAAAATTACACCTGCACTTTATTATTATTATCAGGAAAGTTTCTCTCTCTTTCTGTCTAAAACAAATTCCTATAACTTTTTCCCCACATTTTTATCAGTGCATATTGGTTATACAGAGTAATGGTTTTCACTTGGGCAGATTTGTAGGTGCATATAACGGTCCTTTATCATTTCTACTCTATCATCCCCCTGGCCCCACCCTCCTCTGTTACCACATTTGAGAGATTCACTATGTATGATGAATTTTGATCATATTTATCCCCTTTATTAACTGTCCTTAAACCCCCACCTTATTCCCTTCTTCTTCTCAAATAAGTCTCCCATATCCCTAGTTTTATTTTAATACCTTTCCTCTAAAGTCCAAAGAACTCCATGAATGCTATCATAGGGCTGATCACACTGTATCCCTCTCTACACTATATTTAAAGATCTTTGAGGTTCAGCCTCTTAGTAGAGAGCTTACCTTAGCTATGTTAATTAACTTTCCTTGTCTCAGTAGTCCCACCCCTAAAATGAGAATAATTAAATTCTACATGAATCATATAACCTTGTGTAATTATCAGACTCCCCCGTACCTCAGGTTCCTCATCTCTAGAATGGAGATAAGACAGATATTCCTTGTTTAATGGTCTACCTGTTTAATGACTGGACTTACAACCTGCCACTCGGACATACCACCCATCTTCTTTTTTCACAGTTCTGTGCATCTTGTTTGTAGAACCTCAATGTCTTTTTGTACAGTATATCTTGTTTATGCAGTACTATGAATTTTGCTGATTGTATTGTACAGTACAGCACTGTAGTTTGATGTTGTTATGTTATATATATATTGTTATATTGAGTATCATCAGCTATCCAGATAAAAGCTTCTGAGTTTCTATAATTTTTAAAAGCATGAAAGACACTAATACCAAAAAAATTGAGCCTTACAAGCCTTCATGTAAAAGTTATGCAAATAAAACCAAAATCATCAAGTTGGGGTTTCCTTTGTCCATTCCTTTGTTCTGAACAATATAATGTACACACCATATACAATGCCTTGTTTAGTGACCAACTCATTTAAGGACCTAGTCACAGGACCCTAACTCAGTCACTAAATGGGAAATGTTTGCAATGTATACTTCACTAAAATTATCAAGAGGTTTAAATGGTTTTAAACTATACTTTAGCTAGTATATATTTTATACTTATAGCACATTTATGTCTGGCCTAGCCACATTTCTACTGCTCACTAGTTACATTAGCTTACTGGCTACTCTATTGGTCAGAACAGATAGAGAAATCAATAAATGCTCAATAAAATTTTTAAGAATACTGATGTAAGAATGAAACATCTTTCAGATCCTCAGGGCTGGAAAATCCCTTATACATTTTTACATTCATTTCTTAACGTCTCTGAAAACAAGACTAATTCTATAATTGATGTTACGTGAGTTGAAGGGAAACACTCTTCGTGGTTCATGAGATAATGGTGCATCTTAAACTTGATAAAATAATGTGTATACAAAGCACATACCACCTAGCTTAGAAGCCTCACATAAACTAGCTACTGTATCATTCATATTTGTATTCCTATCACTAGATAAGTGCCTGGCATAGTTTGTAGTTAGTAAATCTGTACTCATTAAGTGAATTCCTATAAGATGCCTTGTGACTTCTAACTCTGTACATCTAAATCTAAATCTATATTCCTTCCCAAACTGGCTCCTTCACCTGATTTTCTCGTACTGTCACACTGAATTATGCTGACTTACAAACTCAGATCTTTACCTCTTGCCTCTTCTCCTAATCCAGTTTAGAAACTAGGTCATGTCAATTTCTCCTTTACAATCTCCCCTAAAATCTGTCCTTTCATTTGCATTCCCACTGCCAATTCCTTAGCTTAGGACAGTGAGTCTCAATTTTTTTGGTCTTAGTATCTTTCATGCTTTTAAAAATTATAGAAACTCAGAAACTTTTATCTGGATAGCTGATGATACTCAATATAATAGAAACTAAAATTGAGAAAACTGGCCCGCCATGGTGGTACATTCCTGTCACCCCAGCACTCTGAGCGGCTGATGTAGCAGGATTGCAAGCTTGAGCCCAGCCAGGGCAACTGAGTGAGACCTTGTCTCAACAATAAAAAAATTTTAAAAATGGCTTTCTATGAGAAAGCCCTGGGTTTTGTACCAAAGAAAAAGAGAAAAATTTTAGTGGATATTAATTCATTAATAATAAACTCATTACATGATAGAATGACACATTTTATGAAAAATAACTATTTTCCAAACAAAAATAGTAAGAATAGTAATACTGTGTTACATTTCTACAAATATATATGCATATATACACATATACACATATATATAGATGTTTACATGTGTGTGTATGAGATCTTGGGAATTGAACCCAGGGCTACATGCATGCTGTGCAGGCAAGCATTCTCCACTGCACTACCTCTGCAGCCTCTCCAAATTGTTTCAATGTTTCTGGCTTAATAGAATAATTTGATTCTCTGCTTCTGCATAAATTCTATTAACATGTGTTGGTTTGCTGGAGTTACATAAAAAAAATCTAGCCTAACACAAGCTATGTAGTTGGCAAAGGGAGCAATATTTTAATAGCCTTTCAGATAATTGTGGGGTGGGGGCTGTGTCCACTGCCTAGGATAGTGGTGGCGAACCTATGGCACGCGTGCTGAAGCAGGCTGTTTCTAGATCCTAGGTTCAATACCTAGCACTGCAAAAAAAACCAACTGTGGCTATTAGTCTTTAATACTACTGCAAAACTTGTTAATTGGTGCTTTCTTAGCCTCAGTGTGGAATCTGAAACCTCATTAATGAAATCATTGAAGTCTGTTTCATTATACTTCATTGATACATCCTGTCCTTCAAATGGACCTTTTACTTATACATGACTTTGTAACATCATGCTTAGTCATCTGAAAAATACTGGCTCACTGAGTTATACCAAGCTTCCACATGTAGACCCATTTCATTATGATACCTAAAAACCACACTCATTATTATTGCCATCAATATCATCATTAGTTTTTAGATTGTTTTTTAAATACCAAAAAGCTGTCAGGTTCAATGTCTTCCAAATATCCAAGACTGAATAACCAGTTTGTTATGTCAGTTATTCTTTCAAATATAGTGTTCCATGAAAAAAGTAGCTACTTAGCCTATAATTCAATAACTCAGTGCTTTTCCTCAGAACCATCATTATACGTAAGTATGCAGAACAGCTTTGTACTGGGTCACACAAGAACGATAAGGGCCTGTCTCAAGATGTAATAAAAGCAATAAATTTTTATTGCATCGTTTAGGGCTTTCTTAAGTGACACTAGCATTTCTGATTTTTTTTACTGCAGAGTTAATACTGCAGTGAAGACCATTAATACAGTTTAGTGCCATTTGTGTTAAAGTACCAGCAGTTTTATACACCATTGCTTTCGCACCATCACTGCCTATGCCAATGTAGTGAAAACAGCAAATATCTCGTTATTATGAAAATAATTTTTACTTCAGATGTCCTGAAAGGATCTCAGGAGGCTCCAGGAGTCCACAGGTCACATTTTGAGACTATTTGGTCTAGGACTTCATCCTGTTATACCTGGATTATTATATCAACCTCTCAATTCTTCTTGCCTTGAGTCTCTCTCACAATTTCTACTTGCCATTACTATGTACAGCTTCCTATAAAGCAGCTTTCAACATATTCAGTTCAAAGTTTTTAAGCAATTTCCTTACTGAATAGAGAATAAAAGCCAATTCCATATTGAGAGACCTCTACAATCTCTCCTCACTCAACTTTTTTAGCCGTATAGCTCATCATTACCAAATACTAACATGAATTAAGTCAGCTGGTCTACTTAAGGTCTCCTAAAACCTAATTTACACATGTCACAACTTTGCCTGAAATAGTTCTATCATATCAAATGTTATTTCCTCTCATCAAATTTCAAATTGTGTTTAACCTTCAATGCCCAGTTCAACATCCATAAACATTTACGCTTTTTGTAATCACTGATTTATAGCATCCTCTTCTTTCTTGGAAATATTGCAATAAAATATTGTCATCACTGTATCATATACTGTCTTTGATAATATAACTCTTGAGTTGTTGTTTAATCATATGTGCTTTCCTTAATTGCCCAACTAGATTCTAAATTTCTAGGAGTACAGAAACTCGGCTAAATTTTGAATCCTCTACAGTGCCCATTATAATTCAAGGAACACAACAGAAAAATGAATTTTAAAAATGAAAGCAATGAAGGAATTCCTTTCCCAAACCCAAGAGGAATTCAGTTAGATGAGTGGCTCACATAGTCTGTGAACTACTGGTGGTCCTTAAAAGTCTTCCAGGTAGACAGCAGATTGATTTTTTACAGCAGTGGTGGCAAACCTATGGGACACATGCAGCAGCAGGCTATTTGTATCATCAAAGCTCTAAAAGGTTCACCATCACTGTCTTAGGAGTTATTAATGTTTTAATGGGAATAATTATGCTATTTAATTAAAATCAGTCCAGTGGCAACTCACAAAAAGTAATCCTCTCCCTCTCATTAATTCTGATGAGGTTTTGCAGCATTAATCACGAAAATGTAGAGTAAGTGACTGAAAGGACTCTGTAAGTGGTTTGAAAGGGGAAAAAAAGGGTAATCGCTGCTCTTAGGTTAGCAAAGAAACACCGATGCAGAATCAACTCTTACCTGTACATTTTCACTTTCTAAAAAGAAGATATAGAGTAAACGTGGCAAAAAAACTTGTATTTGTTAATCTGAGAGATGGTACAAGGGTATTTGCTACGTTATTCTTTGTATTTTCTATATATTCTATATTTATAAAAAGGAAAAACATTGGGCAGCACCCAGAAGCACATATAGTACGTCAGTGTACACACATGTACTACTTGACTGGTGCTCAATGCTGTCCAATTTGTACTTACCAGTGCATCATCTTGCAGTGAAGCAAAAAAAAACCCATAAAGCAAGTTAATTTGTTCCTTATGATCAATGAAGTCAAACATTGCAACCAGCCAACGATAGAAAAGTACCTGTAGAAAGACAAAATGCTCATTTTTATAAATTCTCTGACTATAATTATCTGGCATAGAAGAACTTAGTTTTCCCCACCTGCACAGTGCTGTTTTAGAAGCCTCTGGCACAAAGTAGAATAACTGATTTTATTTCATAGTAAAAGTTTATTTGAACAGAGTCCTTGCATTGAGTTATACTGTCCCAAAACTACAGGCTTTGCACAAAAGGCCACTGCCATTACTCCATAAGTGGCTCTTCCTTGCTAGCCCTCAAGTGCTTCTGAAGGACATCATCAAGGGGTTTCAAAAGCTTACCTTGGTGTTACCAGAACACTTGCCAACACAGAGCCAGGAGACTGCTTTAACCACAGAACCTTCTGATATTAAAGTAGTTGGAATCATGCACTTCAATAGCCGTGTGTTTACAGCATTTCCTGGAGAGCAGACAAACATTAAATTACACTTTACTGTTGCATTTGTCCCTTTACTATTACTCACTGTTGGTCATATGAAGTTCACATTATATTGAAGCCAATAAAAAAAAGTATATAATATTTAACATCCCTTATTATTAAATAAATAATTTTAAAAACTATACATTCAACTTCTAAAATAAACTATAGAGCAAATTATTTGGCTCAAAATTCCTACTTTAAAAGGGAGGATGAGCACAGGTAATGATTTTTGAGATGATGAAAATAATCTGGGAATGGCACATTCAGCTATTTTATCTTCAAAAAAGGGGACAAAAACATACACTGGAGGAAAGATGGCCTCTTGAACAAATGGTGCTGGGAAAACTGCCTATCCACATAGAAAAGGTAGAACCTAGATCCACATCGCTCACTATGTAATAAACTAAAATCAAAAGGGATCAAGGACCTAAATATTAAAACAGAAACAATTTGCTGGAAGATAAAATGGTAAGATTCTTGAAGACACAGGAAAAGACAGGACTTTGTGGACAAAACCTCAATTGCCACACAGTAACATCAAGAATCAACAAACGGGATCATATCAAATTAAAAAGCTTCTGCACAGCACAGAACATAACCAACAAAGTGAAGAGACAACCTACAGAATGAGAAAAATTTGTTGCCAGTTATTTCTCAGACAGAGGCCTAATATCTAGAACATATAAAGAACTCAAACAAATTAGACTCTCAAAATAAAAAAAAAACAACAAATAATGGGCACCTAAAATGAATAAACACTTCCAAGGAGTACAAATGGCCAAAAAATACATGAAAACATATCCAACGTCTCTGGCCATTAAAGAAATGTGAATTAAAGCAACAATGAGATTTCATCTTACTTCAGAAAATACAGCTATCATTAAGAAATCCAATAACAAATGTTGGAAAGGCTTTGGGAAAAAGTAACCCTTCCACTCTGTGGGTGGGAGTGTAAACTAGTACAACCACTATGGAAATCAGTATGGAGATTCCTCAAAAAACTAAAAATAGTGATTCTATTTGATCCAGCTATTCCCTTTCTAGGCATCTTCCCAAAAGAGTTAAAGGCATCCTATTATAATGACACATGCACACCCATGTTAATAGCAGCATAATTCATAATAGTTAAATCTTGGGAGCGTCCTATATGTCCATCAACAGATGAATGAATAAAGAAAATGTAGTACTTATACACAATGGAGTACTACT